TGTAGCATGCATATAAGATTGTGGCGCGAAAGCAAGAAGGAAACAGACTACTAGAAAGACCTAGGCATAAGTAGGAGAATAATGTTAGAAACAGTCTTGAAAAGAACTAATCACTAACTTTACTTTGATAGGACACGGACCGCAAAGAAAACAAAAATTAGTGGGGATGCACAGAGAGCAAAGTAATCTCATAAGTTCTCATTAATTTCATGTTTTCTAGATAAGGCAATTAGGCTAAAATGGGCCTTAGAGGAACAGGATGCGCTGGTACGAACTGGCTTCCTCTCGCTCAGGACAGGAATCATTGGAGGATTCGTGCGGACATGGTGATCAACAATTTTTCGAAATTTTTGAGTAACTGCGCAACTGGCGGCTTCTTAAATTGGACTCAACTCCATGGGGACAATTACTTTCATGAAAGTCAAATAATGTAATTGTATTTCCTAAGTAAGTGTACACAAAAAAAAAGTTATAATTTGAAAATTGTAGATGTTTGTCAGGGGATTGTGTTATTTTCTTACACAGGCAACTCGGCTATAGCGATAGGTTCGATACATCTCTTATATCGTTAACTGTGGAAAGGCGAGATTTCATATAAAGAAGCTTAAGATTTTTTACATTTTAAGTACTTGAATTTATATTACTTTAACGCGGTAGAGTAGTTGGTTGAGCCACTATGCTACAAGCCGGAAGGACGCGGGATTGAATCCCAATGAGGTGATTGGATTTTTTCAATTAACCTAATTCTTCCAGCCGCACTATGATCCTGGGGTCGACTCAGCGTCTAATAGAAATGAGTAGCAGGAATCTTCTTGCAATATTCTTGGGGGTAAAGGGAGTCCGGCACTTAGAGTTGACAAACTTACCGCCATCTCTGAGCCGACTGTCTAGAAAATGTGGGAACCTCAACATCCCACAACCCTATGGGCCTCCACGGCCTGTTACAGGGATACCTTTACTTCAATTTGTATTACTTTTACGGTATGAACATCTTCATTACGTCCACTTATTTTGGGACGGAGAGCCTCTGAAATGTCCGTCAGTACATTTAGATGGCTACATATTATAGTAGGCCTGTGAATATAAGGCAGAGCAGCAGTTCCACACAGGAGGAATGGACCTAGGCACATCACTGCATGAGGGACATTTATGTATAGGTCTATACACGCCATGCTAGAAGTGTTACTTGACGTAACCCCCACACCAAATTCCCCATGAAACTAATCTGAAGTTGGCCGTGCCATAGCTCAAGCTGTTAGTCGCTGGCTTCCCATCGCCGCGGCCAGAGTTCGATCCCGAGTCTGGCCAAGTGGGATTTGTGGTGGACAAAGTGGCGCTGGGGCAGGTTTTCTCCGAGTACTTAGGTTTCCCCTGTCAATCTTCATTCGACCAATTGCTCCACAATCGCCCTCACCTATCATCTGGGGCTGGTACAATAGGCCAGAAGTGGCCGCAGTACAAGGGACTTAATCCCACCCCACAAGCGCTAAAAATATCTGAAGTTAGCTTCAACCGTTTCCGAAGTTCATCCCTCTAACTAGTTAGTTTCTTGGGGAGGTGGGGTGAGACTTTGGTACTGCGGCCACTACTCGGCCTATTTTACCAGCCCCGGATGATGGATGGTAAGTGTGGAGCAATCAGTGGAATTATATTTGACAGGGGAACCCAAAGTACTCGGAGAAAACATTCTCCAGTGCCACTTTGTCTATCACAAATCCAACATGACCTAAACTTGGGGTCAAACCAGGGCTGCCGCGTTGGGAAGCCAGCGAGTAACTGCCTGAGCTATGGTATTGCGTTTCCCTCCAACTAACTCCACGGAGGAGGAAAATTCATGAGAAATTATTAGGGTTCACATATTAAGACATTGTACAGAAGAAGAAAGCTCTATGCTGCTTTCAGAAATTCCTTCAATTATACGTACGTTAACACCAGCTAATTCAATACAAACCTTATACTCTATTTGTTTCACGTAAGAAGATCCACAATGATCTTGGGGACAGAAGAGGATATTTTTATTTAAGGAGAAAGCTCTAGATGGCATTAAGTGGAGGAACTGTTTTGGAAGAGGCTGTGGACCTGTCGTCTGACAGATTACTGATCAATGAATGAATAAATGAATGAATGAATGAATGAATATAAACTTCGTGGTTTTATTACGCAATTGAAATATACCGACCGAGCGACCGCCTCTTGTCAAATTTTGCAGATAGAGGGTGTCGCATTGTCAGCGCAACGAATCCCCACGGCTGTTAATTTTGGTTTTTTAGACCGAAGTCGCTATTTCCTTGAAATAGCTCCTCGATTATCCTCAAGATGCTGATTAGACATCGTTCCAGACCAACTACTTCTCAGAAAAAATCTTGTAGCGCCGGGAATCGAACCCGGACCTCTGGATCTGTAGCCAGGAACTCTGAGCACTTGACCACACAGGCGGTTTGTTTCACATATATACTTAGAGAAAGTCACATGATTTCCGTGTGGTCTTTAGGTTTCCGAATTACAATTCTGCATTAATTAGTATCTCTCCAGGAAGTACCACATTCCTTGGATATCTCATTCCCCCCCCCCTCCGACGACGACAATATATTGTAACGGAAGGAGAATAGTCGCTGCAAGGAGTAGCCGAAATAACAGGAGACGCAGAAAGCCATCCTTTGAAGAAAAGGAACGGGGGCGCACCGTTAGGGTGTTCGGGACGAACGGCCTTAAGGAGGGAGCAGTGTGACGTGTTGCGCTATGCATGACACCCCTCCCCCCGCTAGCGGTGACGTATCACCACCGGAGCGCTGTCGTTACTAGGGTATTAGGCAAGTCAACACTCCTTCCCCTATTTGTTGCTATGCACAAATAACGAAGCGCCATATTCACAGTTCCTCCAACTTCATATTACTTCATTCCCTCAAAGAAACACTATTCTCCTCAGTAGCGTTTCGTCAAGAGCCCGAGTTAGCTCTTTGGCCCGAAGGATCGAGGAATCGTGATTTCATTCCAGGCAAGTGTAAGGGATATTTCTTATGTCCACAGCGTTTAGATCAGCTCTGGGGCCCACAGAACCTCACAGGGGTCTCTTTCCCTGAAGTTAAGAGACGGTAAAGTGAAGCAGACCGCCGAATCTAATGCCAAGATTACAAATGCATTTTCATGGCGCGGTGTTCATCTGTCCGTGAGGAAGAATTAACATTTTAGCTCAGCGCGGTTTCCCACATCGTCGAACTTCATATGTCCCTAAACGAATAGAAGAATGGTCAAAGTAGACCACAGCTATCCACCATTTTCCTCACTTTCTCTTCCCTCACGGCGAGAGACCAGGTTTCACATAGTAAAATAACAGCAGGCGCAGTTTCATACTCTTTAAACCATTCAGAAAATTTTGTTTTATACGTGGTTCCTTGTTAAGCATAAATAACACAGTCAATTATGAAATATGAGGAAGATAGTCCAAGGACAGAATATCTTAAATTTATGAAAAATATTCCAAGAAATAACTGTTACTGCCACCATGTCATAGGGTCAATAAAGCTCCAATGGAACTGCCCATATCATGTTTGAATTAGGATAGTACGAGCAGGGTCACATGACACAAGATTCCATCTTGGGCTTGTTCAGTCCAGTTACCGTAATCATAATTTATTTCTCAAGTTCATCTTTTAATCTTCTTCTTCTTCTTCTACATTTCTCATTACTCCCTCTGATCTATTTCTCATCAGAATAAATCTTGACTTGTAGATCTTAAAGAGAGTTGGTAGGGCTCCTTGTACTGGGGATCAGCCCTGTCGTAAGGCCGCTAGCTACACAGGATGACACAAGCACAGAATAAACGCGGGCAGACATCCATTCCTTGAGTGGGAATCAAACCCGCGAAATCAGTGTTTCAGTATGATAAGACATTTCATGCAAATCACTGTGACTGACTGATATAATATTAAGCTCTTTATATTTCGAACATAGTGGGTCATAATTTCCATTTTCTTTCACCATTAAGAGCCATCTCGAATTCAATTCTTGACTGAATGCGCCCCGGACTGATAATATGGGGCACAAATTTATCAAACAATCTACAGGTATATTCTTATGCTGTCAGTAGATAAAAATTATAAATGAATTATGGATTCTGTGGTTGTTTATGTACCAAGGTGCATTCAGAATGGATCGGAGAGTCTTGGATTGAAAGCGCTGGAGGATTTCGATATTGTAATTGGAGGCTGTCCCCGTAGCCGAATTCTACAGGTCCATATGGGGTTGAGTACTGCTTTGTATAGAAGGAGCTTGCTTTATGTTGATAGTGTTGATCTTCTGAGTAGCTCGTGAATTTGTTGAGATTTTAAGTTATCTTAAAATGAATAAAAATGAAAGCGTATAACGGCATAATCTAGTGCAAAGTTTACTTCCTTTTCGCTAGATCTTTCACAGCAATTTCTTTGTCAAGTTCACCCAAGTCCGACATTCCCCGAGAATGGATTTTTCATAAGTGGCAGAGCCATTGAATATTGCGTTGAAATTAAGCTCAGCGTGATGTGTATGCTTGTTTCACAATACACTACAAAAATCGATAAAATTAACAGAGTAAAATAATCTTATTTTTTTTAATAAAAGCATTCATGTCATGATAAACTTTTCAAAACGTGTCATGTAAGTTTGTGGTTAAATTTTGTACATTCAGCTAAGCGTCTCCTTTAATTTAATAAAATTAAATTTGTAAAACGATCGCAGCGAACCTATCGGAAAGAATTTCAAGTGGATTCATCATCTAAACATCATCTAAAATGTATTATACAAACAGTTCTATGAGACAAGTTATTTGTGTAAATAGAAAATTCTGGATTGAACTAGAATGACAACTCGACGTCGAAAGATTTACCAATAGTGCTGATCGAGGTCACCTCTAAATGGTAAAGTAAACTTTGGCAGTTACAGTTTAGTGTTCAAATGTTTGGAAGTCTCATCTTGTCTTATTATTTTATAGCTGATCCGACATTGTAAGAATAATTTGTACTCACCCTGTACGTGTTATGATGTTCGAGGAAAAGTGGTTTCAAAAGTCGAGTTAGTATATCCCCGTCGTATTATCTGCAGAGATCTCTTAAGCAACCACTTGCGGTTTATACCAGTTGCAGATTGGTTTACTTGGCGTGGTGTTGTCCGTGAATCCGTAACTGCTGACGCCCTAAAGCACAGTACCACGCGACAAGACTTTAATCAGCTGGTCTACATAGACATGTTCTATGTGTATGTTTAGATAAGGAGAAGATCCCTCCAGATCTTCGTAGAGTAAGTCACATTTCATGGTAATTTCTGACTACAGACACTTTATCTATCAATATAAAAGTATTATCAGAACTCAAAGAATAAATATGATACACTGAAACAAAAGACTGATAGCTCGTTCGTGACCTACTATATATTGTTAAGTTAATGCAATCTGTTGACATTCGAAAATTTGTTATTGTGGTGAATAAAAACTGAGTGATCTCACAGTTCTAGCCCACAATTAGAAAATGTTTTTAGAAGAAAAAATTAAAATCCATCACGCCACAATCTAATCTAAACGTATTTCGTGACCATGGTTACTATAAGTCATACGAAGTTTGCGTAATCATTATCATCATGGTCTACAATGCATTTCTTGTGGAGCAAATACTGGGTAAATATTTTGATTTTAACCACAAACCACCCGTATGACAGCAAAATTAATAATTTAAGAGGTTGTGCTTCCAAGAGAAACAGCTTTGTATTTGATATTTCTTTTCTAAGACACGACATTTTGGAGGAACAAGGGAGGAAAGGGTGAACAGACAAATATTAGATGCGTATGTAGATAAGAGAACAAGAAGTTCTAGGAAGAACTAATCGCCTACTTTTCTTGATACGACACGGACAGCACAGAAAACGACGTGTCCAAAAATACTTTTATTGTTGCCGCTGTAACGCTTTTAGCGAGCCGTTGCCTATCAAAGTTAGGGGATACACATACGGACACACAGACTGATGACAGGGATGTATGAATTACGCCATTGAGTTGGGTTCAGATGTCATGATATATATACCAGCTCCATAAAGACTGATTCAGGTATTAAAAAGTTAAAGACAAGTGATTGCATAAGCATAATTTTATTCTTTGAAAATAAAGAAAATAGGCTAAAGAGATGCTCAGGTGGAACGTAACACGTGCGACAGATTTGGCATTTACGGATAGATCATAATAAATCCGCTCCTTCGCTCCGCATCATGAAGACTTAGAGAGGAATGGAGGCATAGCTCCTCATATATCAAATCAAAGCACCAGATACAGGTGAGCAGTCAACTTCAAGTCTCAACCGGACGTAACCTACCTGAATAGCAACTTGAGTGGCGAGAACCCGGTTCCTTAGTGATTTTGTTCTTCTCAACAGTATTTGTGTCTGCAGTGTTTTGCTGCTCTTGCAACAAAATGAGACGTCGTGTGTACCGCGCGTGAAGTGCTGTCAATTAGACCACAGCTCACTACGACTGTCATGTATGGTTTGTTTATATGTACTGCATTAATATTCCGAATGTGGTTTCGCAGATGTACAGACTCTGTAAATGTGGTTGTGTTTGAATTTGTAAACTGTGAAACAAGCTTACGTAAATCTATTATAGTAATAAATACTCATAACAGAAGGTCATTCAAGGTAGGAGGATAATGAAATTTCAGTAAAACTAGAAAAATTTGAAATTAAATTAAAAATTATGTCTTGAAGATTAAAGCTTCATATTTTGGGAATATTTTGGTGAGGACATTACATCCCTAGCTGAATAACTGAGAGAGTTTTAGAACAATGTTTGAAGTACTGCATTGACTGGACTGTAGGCTAAAATATTTGGGTCCTTCATAACATCTTCAAAAAACTTTCACGAAAAGTATGCTCTCCCATAATGTAAATAAGCCGATCACTGTGGAAACGCGGTGTAAGCCATGAACTGTCTTTGTTCGCTCGAATGCTGGAATCGTGGGATCAAATTCCACTCAAGGCATGGATGTATGTCTTTATTCTGTGTTTGTATTGTCATGTGTGTAGGTAGTAGCCTTGAGACGGGTTGATCTACCATGTAAAAAAGATTACGAAACTGAAGAAGAGTCAAGGGTCCACGAAAGGGCTGTAGAGTCATTGATGAATGAATGAATGAATAATGTAAATAAAATCATAATTTACTTACTTACTTACTCATGGAGCTGAGCCCTTCTGGAGGAGCTGCCAAATCTGCAGCTACTCAAGAATTTCCCAGTATTTTATGGAACCCGAAAGTTCATTACCGTGTTCACAAGAGCCCTCCATTGGTTCCTATCCTGAGCCAGATCTATCCAGTCCATTTCATCCCATCCTGTCTCTCTAAGGTCAATTAAAGTTTAACGAAATATATTTTTTCATGCTTCAGTATTCCCCCCCCCCCATATTTTAACTGCAGGGAATTATTTCTGAGATCACTCTTAATATGAAATATTATATAAACATGGGACGTAATATTTTTAACGTTTGCAGAGTTGTGATTCCTGAAATTTGAGATGGTATCAATCCTTTGTTGTAACAGAAGTCACGGGCCGCGCCATAGCTCAGGTGGTTAGTGGTTTGCTTCCCCCCGCGGCGGCCCGGGTTCGATCCAGGGTCTAGTCAAGTGGGATTTGTGGTGAACAAATTTGTGCTGGGACGGGTTTTCTCCGAATACTTCGGGTTCCCCTGCCAATTTTCATTCCACCAAATTCTCCATCATCATAATCACTCGGGGCAGGCTACAATAGGCCAATCAGTGGCCGCCGTGCCAAGTGGATCCAGTTGGAATCCACCCCCCACTAAGCGAATTTAAAAAAAAAACAGAAGTCTCACACTGCACATGATTTCACGTACCTAGGAGTTTCGCTGCTGTAACATAAGTTCAAAATGTCCTTCTCGAACTTCTATGTACTTTCTTTACCGTTTCACAGCAGAACGTGTGAAGTGACGAATAGTGTCTCGTTGCGTGTGCGCATATCGGCAGCGCGACCAATCAGATGTTCATGTAACCTCACACACAGATATAGTGAGGGCTGAGGCTCAGTGATCGCCGTGGCCAATTATGTGGTTCCTTCTTAGTACGAACCTGAATTCCAACACGCTTGCGCAGTGACACACACAAATTTTAAGCCGAAACGTCACTCCCCTTACTTATAGCTCTACAACCCTTGATAACTGGACCCATACCATTTAATGATCTTCATTCATAATGGACTATTAAATAACCTCTTTAAATTATAACGTAAAATCCTGACACCCTCTGCATATGTTATACTGATCTTTACCTATTAAACACAGGAAAGATCATTAAAGAATTTATTAAGGCGCCCCATACACACACAGTTTGGCCTTCCGATCGACCTTGCAGGCAAAACTTTCACAGTTTATCCCCTCCCTTTCCTTCCCCATACACGCGCAGATAAAGCGGCAGGCTTCATGCCACAATCACGGTCTTCCAGCCTATGTTGCTGAGTCACACACGTCACGTGCTACGGTCCTGCAGGTAGAACTGACGGACTGACGGGTTTCCCACAGGCCAACAGTCCAAACGATTGGAAGGCAGGCCGCACCACACACGTCAGTTTTGCCTTTCAGTCTTCAACTGTGCAGGCCGAACTGGAGGCCAAACTGTGTGTGTGTATGGGGCCCTAAGTAATCTCAACAGGTGCCACAAGCCATGGGAATATGCCCGCGCCATAGCTCAAGCGGCTGGTCGCTGGCTTCCAACCTCTGCGTCCCGGGTTCGATCCTGGATCTGGTCAAGTGGGATTTGTGGTGGACAAAGTGGCGCTGGGACGGGTCTTTTTTCCGAGTACTTCGGTTNTCATTATTCACGATCATATTTCGCATTACATTAAACTTCATCCCAACCAGCATGGCTTCACCAAATCCAAATCCACAGCCACTAATCTGGTATCCTTCTTAGATATTATGACCCCTGTTGTCTGCAGTCAGCGTCAGGCTGATGCTGATTTTTCTAGCGCCTTTGACCTCGTGCCCCATACTTTGCTAGTGCATAAGCTCAGCTCCCTTGGATTTTCTGATGGATACCTTAACTGGCTTGGCAGTTACCTAGCTAACAGGAGATCTCGGGTCCGTGTGTCTGATGCTCTCTCCCGGCCTCTTAGAGTAACTTCCGGGGTGCCGCAAGGCTCTGTTCTGGGGCCTCTTCTTTTTAATGAATTCATTAATGACCTCTGTAACTCGATAAGACATTCCCATTTTCTAACCTTTGCTGATGATCTCAAAATCTTTGNGCTATCACTCACAGGTGTCTTATCTTAGTATTTAGTTACTAACAGTATTAGCAAGATTCGTAATATTTCATAAATGTATGTATATAGTTCAGTCTTCTTTAGATTTATGTTCACAGATTTATTTGTCATACTTGTATTTTGTTTTAATTATTTTCTGTACCTTATATAGTCGTGCTAACTTTGTAATTGGCCACTGTGCTGTTAAATTTTTGCACGTAAATAAACATGAATTGAATTGAATTATTATTATTATTATTATTATTATTATTTTACTGCAATTGGGTGTTCACGCGGTGGCAGTAGAACTTACACTGATACAGACAAGGAGAGACTATAACATAAGGGAACAATACAAAACAAAATACATACAATAAACAAGGTACACACAGTGCAAATCCAAATATGTAAATTTATAAAAGGGCACGTGCTCGTGTTCGTTTCACTGTGCTCGAATTAGGACACTTCACATTATTTCACTTGATTCATTTAACTCCGCCTAAGGCCTCTGTAATTGTAACAGTTTTCTTAACCCTCTTTCTAAAAGTTTTAGTTTACAGGAGAAAGACGCTAGTACTGTGTCGAAGTACTGATACAACCATAGAAGTCTGTACATAGAACTCTAATATTCAGTACCTGAAATAAGAATTTCGGTTCTGATAATTTTTTTTCTCAAGCCGTAAAGCTCTTGATTTGTATGTGAAAGGTTCTCGGTTCGAGTCTTTTAAGCTGACAAGAACTAAATGACATTTTCGGGCCACCTCAGTGAGAAGATTTTAAATTAGTTCGTGACCGTTTCCTTCCTCTAATTTCTAAATTAATCTTTCACTACCATTCAGTCAGTGGATTCAGTGCAGCCTGATTTACTGGCAGTTTGCTTCAAGGAAATACAAACAAACAAA